TCAATTTTGTTTCTAACTATGAGCCTATGTATTAAGACTGTTCTAAAGCAAAAGCTGTTTTTAAAACAAAAGTTACTTCCAGAATCAAGGCTTCATGTCAACCTGGGATCAAACTGGACTTTCTCCCTTCTCTCATTCAACGACCATTTACTGGATACCATCTTTGCATTAGGTCCTGGGTATGGTTTCATTATATCTTCAAAATAAACACCTTACCACATTTACCACCTAATCATTGTACACACAGATTTAGTGAGCAAAGAAGAAATTCAGAATTTTATGTGCTTTGAAAGACCAGAAATGGCAAACAATTACAGATTTTAAGACTTGTTTGTTATCAATGTGTTAATATGACTCAGTTTAATTAATACCCAAATGCTGAAGCTTTATTTTTCTGTGAAAATGCTATTCTTCACTAGAGCTAAAGCATTAAGGAATTAAGCAGTTAGGGATTTGCAAATGCAAATCAACTTTGTCATTTGCTAAATAGGCTCTGTGATCCCCCAGTAATATTACTAGGTGGTTAGGAGCCCAAATATCTTACCACTGAAACCATAGTCACATTTGGCCAATCCCAAAGTCTCCATTAGAAGACATACGTAGAGTCTGTGTCACCCTCCAACCCCCTAGAGAGCTCCCCTGGTTTTATGTATGACAGCTCGGGCAGGGGTGGTCCCAATTTGGAGGTAGATGTCATATAAAGTGGAAAAACTTACCATCAATAACTGTTATTTCAAAGGGGACAAAAGGACATTTCTTTCTCCCATATACCCTTTTTTTTTTTTTTTGAGAATTTCTCTCTCTAGCTTTGCTAGATTTCAGTTCTAGCCTCCCGAAGCCCTGAACTCCATACATCATGAGATGAGCTCCAGACTGATCTCTGTAGGACACATTTTCTGAGTAAGGTAAGTGTCAGTTTCTGGAATGCAGAAAACCTTTTCCCAAAATAATCCTCCACCCTCTAACGTGTTCACTATTGACAAGATTAGCAAAGGAAATTGCTTCCGATCCATCTTTCGTTCTTGTTCATTGACACAGCAGTTTCTCCTTTTGCTGTTTTATAATACATTTGGGGAAGAAAATCATAGATGTGATTAGTGATCACAACCCAAACACTTCCCAATTTGATGTTAATTATATTTTTTTCTTCATAGCAAGCATGAATGCTGTATTAAAAAGTGACAGTCTCTTATTCCCATGTAATATAATGAGAAGGAAGAACCAGGTTGCACAATAGTGCCTAGCCCAAAGTGGGTGCTTAATAAATATTTGTGAATGAATGAATCACTAAGGCACCTCTCTGGGTAGAAAATTCGGTGGCCATTGTTGACTTCTTTTCTCCTAGGACAGGCAGGGATAGATTCACCAGACAGCCTCGATCCACAGAGACTTTTGAGCTGTCTTCCTCCCGACACAATGGACATTATATGTTATTTAAAATCTGTTTAGGTTCGAATCATCAAATATGTGGGAAAGGAAAGACGCCAATCAGATGCAAAACAGGAATTCAGCAGTTTCAAACGGCAACACAACTGCTTGTTTTGCAAAATAGAGTCCAAATTCATTTTTCACCTTTAGGTCCCTTGATGCAACATGCTCTCGAAATAGAATCAGAATTGCAGGAGTCTCAAAGTACATGCCTAACTATTTTTTACTTTCCCTTCTAATGAGAAAGTTTAAAATCTAAGAAATGTTCTACAGAAGTACTAATGATTTGTTTTCCTTAAAGATTCCAATTTCCCGGTTAGAAAATCACTAATATGTCATTTTGATTTCCCCAAATGCATTAATAAGCTCGTCTTCCTTCCCTTCCTTCTACCACCTCTTCAGTGGTTGTCTGATGATTAAAATAACTGGGTATTTCAGAAACATTTCTCGGCAGCTGGGAATGGAGGAGAATACAATAAGAGGTTAAAAAAAAAAGAGCAAAGAAACAAACAAATCCTTCCTTTGGCAACAGAGATGCACTTTCAGCTTATTAGAGAGCTGACTATTGTTCAAAGAACTTTGTGTTTAAATGATGGCTTTTAGATGACTTTTTTTTTAGAGAAAAAAATATCGAGGGTATTTTATCACTATCTGTTTTAATGCAGTTATTCATGAGTGCTCTTGCCAAGAGCCACACAAAAATCCTCCATGTGTTTTTTCTCCAATCCTGCCTAAGAAGGAAAAAATCGACATCAAAGTGTGAGGTTCAGAACTTAAAGACTGAGTCAACCAGTCCTCCACATTCTTTGAAGTCTCCAAGCCTCCCGTCTGCTTGTTAAAAAAGACAGGCTAAGAAAATAAAATGCTAAATAGTATGAGAAACGTATTAAAATAAAGTCTTTTCAGCCTTGTGATTCTATGACAAATTTGGATTTGCAAACCAGGAACAGTAGTTCAAAACATCAGGGTAAATTAGCAGATGCTGCAATTTCCTGGATTTCCTAAAACTTGTCTCGTTAGTCCAAAAAGTAAATTTAGATGCAGTAAGAATATAGAGTAAGCGGAAAGGCCAAGAGCCAGCTTCCCAATGGTCCACTTACAACGTGGGTCCTCCAAGGGACCTGCTCTATTAAACAAGTGTAAGTAGCACAAATTCATGACAAAATGGTCAAGTGCAGTGCAGGGCTTCTGGGGAATCAGCTCTCGACAGTGGAGTCTGTGGCTCTCTGGAAGGCAGAGTGTTTCTCTGTCACATCACCTCCACTTCCCCACGGCCTACCTGTGACACTTCTCTGGATGGACTGCAGTTTGCTTCACCTCCGGCCCCTCCCTAGGTCAGCAGAAAGAGGGGAATAAGGAAATTCCCTGTTACGCCCTCCAGTGCTTCCCAGAGAAGCAGCCCCATCCACGTACATGGGATGAGGCAGGGGAGGACCAAAGCGGGCATTCACCGACCCAACACCGGCAACTACGGCCGGCGGATGTCAGTACGGCAGCGAGTCTGAATGAAGGTGCTGGTTCATGCAAGAGGGTCACGTGCGTAATGGAGATCAGTCACTTAGGTTTCCAGGTAGGTCACTTGAAAACCCTTCAGTCCATATTAAACTGTAGGCCTCAAGAGCCTCAAGGAAGTGAGCGATTCCAGGAGTCAGTACCTGTGTCTCAACACTGACACTAACTCACCCCTGGGAAACCCAGATGACATACACCCAGGAAGGTTATCAGACTGGAAGGCCGCTTATCAAAATTTAACAAACTTTGTTCTGTGAACAGAGACAGGCAGAACAATATCAACCAGTTTAAAAAGAAAAAGAAAACAGGGCCGACCCCGTGGCTCACTCGGGAGAGTGCGGCACTGTGAGCGCTGAGGCCGCAGGTTCGGATCCTATATAGGGATGGCCTGTGCACTCACTGGCTGAGCGCGGTGCCGGCGACACCAAGCCAAGGGTTCCGATCCCCTTACCGGTCACAAAAAAAAAAAAAAAAAAAA